CGCGTTTCCGTTTAGCTGAGCCGGAGCCCTCAGCTCGCTCGCCGCCTCCGCCCCGGTGGAGAGCATGTCCGCCATCCGGCCTCCGCGGCCACCCCAAGTCCTGGCAAGGCTGCGGCACGGGAGGCTCAAACTCCCCGGCACGAGAACCCGGAGCCACCAGCAGCCGCCCAGTCTCATAACCACGAGGGCGCCACTGCTGGGTCGCGACCTGAAGACGTCACTCAGCACCAGCCAATCAACGAGGCCCAGTGCGAGGCGGGGACAGCGAAGGGAGGAAGTGAGTTGAATGACTGGCGTGGCGAGTTGAGAGGAAGATTCACCAAAAGCATTGAATTCATGTAGATATACTCAAAGTTCCTTGGGTATGGAAAAGCTCCTGAAAGGAACATAGTGAAAACAAACAGACTTTAAAACAAAACGGAGCGCTGAATTCCGAATATGCTAGGAATATTTAAGCATTGTGTTGTATGCTTTCAAAGAATGGAGCTCTTCCCAGCGTCCCTTGCATCTTGCACATTGGTGTATCCTCTGGGCTCTATCCGGCAGGCAAAGCCTTTGGCACCCGAGGCACACAGCAGAGGAAGCAAGCATCGTGTCTGACAAGATAGAATTGGAGGCATCTGGTTCGGGGGCTCGCAGCGGGGGAGGTTCTTGTGCCCAGTTCCCAGTCAGCAGTGCCAGCTGCAGTGGCAGTGTGGTGTTATTGTATTTATATACCACATCTTCGTTATCCACTCACCTATGGGTAAACACTTAGATTGCTTCCATATCTTAGCTATTGTAAATAGCCAAGTTTGTTTGGTGAGCAGGAAATCAGAAAAAAGGACATAAGTGAGTCGAGAGACCATGGAGTAGTTTTTTTTTCTTCTTTATCTTTATTGCTGAAAGTATTATATATGTCCCCTGTTTCCCTCCCATTGACCCCTTCCTCCCCACTCCCGCCCCCTCCCCAGGCCTTCATCCCACTATTGTCTGTGTCCATGAGTTATGCATATATGCATGTAAGTTCTTCAGTTAATGTCTTCCTCCCCCTACCTTTTTCCCTCTGAGATTCGTCGGCCTGGTGCATGCTTTCATGTCTCTGGATCTATGTGTATTTTGTTTGTCAGTTTGTTTTATTCATTCGATTCCACATATAAGTGAGGTCATTGTAATATATGTCTTACTCCGACTGGCTTATTTCACTCAGCATAATTCTCTCCAGGTCCATCTGAAATCCCTCTTTTTTACAGCTGTATAGTATTCCATTGGGTAAGTGTACCACAGCTTTTTTATTGATGGGCACTTAGGCTGTTTCCAGATCTTAGCTATTGTAAATAATGGTGCTATGAAATAGGGGTAGGTATTTTCTTTCTGGTTGGTATTTCAGGCTTCTTAGATATATTCCTAGAAGTGGGATCACTGGGTAAAATGGCAGTTCCATTTTTAATGTTTTTTGGAAACTCTGCCTGTTTTCCATTCCCACCAGCAGAACGTTGAAAAAAATGTAGTAGGGTTCCTTTTTCTCCACATCCTTGCTAGCACTTGTTTGTTGATATATCGATGGCCATTCTAGCAGGTCATTTTAATCATACTCAATGGGCAAAAACTAAAACCATTTCCCCTAAGAACAGAAACAAGACAGAGTTTCACCACTTTTATTCAACATAATATTGGAAGTCCTAGCTATAGCAATCAGACAAGAAGAAAAAATAAAAGACATCCAAATTGGAAAGGAGGATGTAAAACAGTCATTATTCGCAGATGACATGATACTGTACATAGAAAGTCCTAAAGATCCCACCAAAAAACTAGATTTAGTAAATGAATTCAACAGTGTAGCAGGATACAAAATTAACACTCAGATATCAATGGTATTTTTATTCACCAATAATGAACTCTCAGAAATAAAATTTTAAAAAAACAATCCCATTTACCATTGTAACAAAAAAAAAAAGTAAGATACTTAGGAATAAACTTAACCAAGGAGATAAAAGACCAGTACTTGGGAAAATTACAGAACGCTGAAAAAAGAGATAGAAGGAAGATATAAACAAGTGGAAGAATAGGCCATGATCATCTATTGGTAGAATTAACATAATTAAAATGTCCATACTGGCCATGGAGTGGTTTGATGAAGCATCCATAAGCCTATGAGACTGCCTCATTCTGCGAGTCAGATGCTGCCAGCCTCCTGTTACATAGGATGGTAGTTGGAGGCCTCAGGATCCTTCCGTGGGAGATTCCACTCCCCCATTCATTCCCTGTAGATAAGCTGTCAAAATCTTGCCTGCTCTAAGTTCCTTTTTTTGTAACCTCCTTGCTTTCCACTTCCTTCTCTTTGCACATTCTAAGAATGGTTATAAATGTGAGCAACGGAGGACCTTGTAGTTTCCTTTCACATATTGGTGATTATTAACACCATAGCCACATTAATTTACTTTGGACACATCTAGACACTCTATCATAAGCCAAGTTACTTCTACTAATGGTTGGCTAATGTCTTTCCGCACGTTCTTTCAGGAGTAACCAGCTCTGGAAATTGGGGTTTTAGGGGCGAGGAAGAGTTGCAGCTCAGCCTACTGATAATCCCTCAGATACCAAAGGTCACTTCCTTTTAAAAATAGTTTCTGACACACACCTCCCAAGACCATTCTCTCCTTTATGTACTCTGGCTACACTTCTGTTCTATCCTCTATAACTATTTGCTGTTATTTGTAAAGTTGTCTGCCCCATGACGCACCCTCTTACACTAAGCTGTGAAGACCTCCGGGACCCATACCGAGTCTATCTGCCTTGAATTCCCGCTTTAGACAGTGCTTAGAACACAGCAGGAATTCGGCTATTGACTAAATGAATGAGGAAAAGCTTCATCACATGAATGGGACAAGGGTCTCCTGTAAGGGACGAAGTCTCCTCCTACCCCTTTAAAGCCCCAAAGTGCTCTAACTTGGGTAGCGAAGGGCTGAAAATTTTGGAGACGAACACCGGCCCAGGCAATTGCTGAAGAGGTGAACTTGCTCGGGGAACCACGCCAAGTCTTGGGCCTTGGAAACCGGGCTTCCTCGTCCAAGCAGGGGATGGGGGAGGACGCCGCCCGCGCGGCTGGAACACCAGGAAAAGGCGGAATCAATGAAGTCCGGGGAAAGCCGGGGCCGGGGTACGCGGCTCCGCCGTTTCCCGGCAACAACGGGCTCCGCCCCCCCCCCCCCCCCCCCCCCGCTTCCTTGCACTCAGCTCCTCACTTCCTTATCCACTCGACCTATCCACGCACAGAACATCGCCAGGTCGGCGGTGGTTGGAGGGTTTCCTGGATCCGTCACTCGGAGACTCCGCCCACCATTTCTTCCGGCTGCCGGAGACGCAGCGGAGTGGAGGGTTTGCGGGCTGCCCGGCAGGCAGTTGCGGTAGGTGAGGAGGGGCGGGGGGCCCAGCATTTGTATCCGCGGTGCCGGCCCCATCCTGGAACGCCGCAGGGAGGCCTCGGAGCCTGACTCATCCCGCCCAGCCCGTCCTGGAGGCCGGAGTGACGGAGGCCCGTCTGGACACCCAAGTTCCCTGCGCTGTCCGGGACTTCCTAGGAGGGGAGGGGGACCGGGCTCCGGGGTGAGGCAATGTTTGTTTGGGTGGGTTTGCCAGCGGTTCTCAACCTGTGGGTTGCGACCCCTTTGGCGGTCGAACGATCCTTTCACAGGGGTCGCCTAAGACCATCCTGCATATCAGATATTTACATTACGATTCATAACAGTAGCAACATTACAGTTATGAAGTAGCAACGAAAATAATTTTATGCTTGTGTCACAACATGAGGAACTGTATTTAAAGGGCCAGAAGGTTGAGAACCACTGGGGGTGGGGGTTCATTGCGCCCCCTGGCATTAGTTCATTCAGGGCTGCCGTGACGTACCTGTCCCGTTTACTTCTGAGCCCTTGCGCTGGTTGGGCTCTCCTAGAGTTGGAATTAGTCAGACCTTTCTGTTGGCAGCCTTCCTAGTCTCAAAGGCCCATCCTGTAAGACTAGATAGTTATGAAAGCCTCCAGGACCTACCTCTGCTAGGGCCACTTTCAGTATACTATTCCCAATCAGGCAGAATGATATCTGGTAAAAATACGGATTTTGGAGCGGCACCGGTCTGGTTTCCAATCCAGGATTCACCATATATCAGTAATTACCCTTCTGATCCTCAGATCCTACAGATTCTTCATCTGCACAATGATGAAAATGTCTATTAGTGTTTCCATTGAAATAAGAACACAAGCCCAACTTCTGCCTCTAATGAGCAAATGGGCCTCTGCATATGACAGTGCTCTCTGAGAGACACTTTTCACCAAGCAGCACTTTTATTATCCTTGTGCATATGGAACTGTGCAAGACCTTTAGTGCCTTATTGAAAATGGAATTTAATTAGCTGAGGACAGAATTGTTGAATCTGGGAGCTTTTTGGAGAAAAGTGCAAGCTGATTGTCTTCACTGGAAATGTCATGAAATGTGCATGCCACCTGTGGTGTGTGTGTGTGTGTGTGTGTGTGTGTGTGTGTGTGTTTTAAAACATACAAAAGTAAAATTTGCCATTTTAACCATTTCTAGATATATAGTTCAGTGGCATTCACATTGTTATGCAACTATCACCACCACCCATCTATAGAACTTCCCAAACTGGAACTCGGTACCCATTAAACAATAACTTCCATTCCCCCATTCCAAAAACCCCTGGCAACCACTGTTCGGTTTTCTGTCTCTATGAATTTGACTGCACTAGGCACCTTACATAAGTGGCATCATCCAATATTTATCCTTTTGTATCTGGCTTGTAGAA